GGGGAGGAAGCAACTTACCCTCCCTCTTCTCCTGCCTCCTCCTGGCTGAATGAGAGCTGGAAGCAGGGCGGCCGGAAGCAGGGGGCGGGGCTTTGTCGTGTGCCCTGCCCCCTGCACCTCACCTGGGGGAACTGCGTTCCCCCCCGAAATGACCTCTGGGTGGCGGGCGTCCATCTTAGTTGGCCTCCCTGCTTTAGTTCCCAATCTCCTGAACAGCTCTGATTCCACCTATATGACCTTATTACAGCCCAGGAGATCATTGGCTGCCCTCTCCCATTCCTGGAGGAATTGTATAGTTCTCGATGTTTGAAAAAAGCAAAGAACATCTTGCAGGACTTGTCACATCCTGAACATTCCCTGTTTGAACTGCAGACTTCGGGCAGAAGATATAGGACAATTAAAGCAAGGGCAAATAGATTAAAAAATAGTTTTTGCTCGACAGCTATTATTGCCTTAAATGCAGTATGAAATTGGAATCTGGGTGACATTGGTGGTTTTAAGTTGCTATGTGAACCATAAGGGAGTTATGGGACAGTTGTGAATGGTGTGTGAGTGTATATGAATATTGTTGTAGATCACCGAAATGATTGCATCTTTAATTTTGTTGTACTATGTACAATGACAATAAAGTATATTATTATTATTACTATTATTATAACAGTCTTTTTATTTTTACGTAATTTGCGGCTACCTCTGAATTTTACTGTTCTAAGTATTTTAATGTCATGTAATTTTATTGTAAGGAGTCCTTGACTCTGCTTGTTGCAATCTGCCCGCCTTTGGGGAGGGCGGAATAAAAATCTGAAAAATAAATACATAAATAAGTGCTACCAGACTCGAATTTTGTCCCCGTCTTCCAGATAGCCACACCAGAGATCTAGTTAAGGGTATGACACTACTGGCCTGTCTCATTTCCAACCCCTTTCTTAATAACTTAAAATAAGAACAAACCTTGACATTCTCAGGTGACTCCAGTCCATCAACGAAGCTACTAAGGTTGCCCAAGAGCCTGTCCAGGGAACTTCCCTAAGGGTTAAAAAAAATATATTAGGAAAAAACTGGGTGAGGGACTAGAAGCCTGAGCGTCATAAGAACTTAAGAACATAAGAGAAGCCAATACTGGATTAGGCCAATGGCCCATCCAGTCCAACGCTCTGGGTCACACAGTGGCCAAAAATATCAGGTGGCAACAGGAGGTCCAGCAGTGGGGCCAGAACTCCAGAAGCCCTTCCACTGTTTGTCTCCCCACCCCAAGCACCAAGAATACGGAGCATCCCTTGCCCCAGACTGAGAGTTCCTATTTATGCCTTGTGGCTAACAGCCACTGATGGACCTCTGCTCCATATGCTTATCTAATTCCCTCTTGAAGCCGTCCATGCTTGTAGCCGCCGCCACCTCCTGTGGCAGTGAATTTCATACGTTCATCACTCTTTGGGTGAAGAAGGACTTCTTTTTATCTGTTCTAACCCGACTGCTCAGCAATTTCATTGAGTGCCCACCAATGTTCCCTCTAAGCTGTGGAGTCTTGTGAGCAAAAAGTCTACTTTGTGAGCTACTGGCATTCAGGCTGTGAGCAAGCAATTTGGCTACTGCATGAATTAGTTTGCTCCGGAGCCGTCCTTCCTGAGCTGGGACAAAAATGTGTGAGCCGGAGGCTAAAAAACTGCGAGCTAGCTCACACTAACTCAGCTTAGAGGGAACACTGGTGCCCACGAGTCCTTGTATTGTGAGAAAGGGAGAAAAGTACTTCTTTCTCGACCTGCTTTATCCCATGCATAATCTTGTAAACCTCTATCATGTCACCCCTCAGCTGTCGTTTCTCCAAGCTAAAGAGCCCCAAGCATCTTAACCTTTCTTCATAGTGCCTGATTTTAAAAGTCTAGAGAAAGAGGTAAGGAAACATGGAAGGAACTTAAGGCAAAGAACTGGTAGCCCTTTCTTTCCACTGCATTCACCTCAGTAGTGGACAAGCTGTTATAGCATCAAGGAACGTTCACAAATATTCTAGCTGTCTATGGCAAGGGAGAATCAACAAATCATGGAGAGGTGAAGAACTCGGCCAGACAGTGCCCTTCGGTTCTCTACGTAGGACAAACAGGACAAACCCTGCACCAGAGAATAAATGGACACAGATCTGACATCAAGAAGCACAAGACTGAGAAACCTGTAGGAGAACACTTTAACCTTCCAGGACATTCAGTGGATGAACTCAAAGCAGCTGTTTTATTACAAAGGAACTTCGGAAACAGAATGGAAAATTGTTGAATAACAAGTTATTACAACACTTGGAACAAAAACCTCCCCAGGACTCAACAGGGATATTGGATTTTTATCCCATTACATATGCGAAGGAGCTGTGGTGGCTCAAGTGGTTAAGACGCTGAACTGCAGGCTTTGGAAGGTCGGTAGTTCAGCAGTTCGAGACCCGAGTGTGCCGCATGACGGAGTGAGCTCCCGTCTCTAGTTCCAGCTCCTGCCAACCTAGCAGTTCGAAAGCAAGAAATTGCAAGTAGATAAATAGGTACCACTTCGGTGGGACGGTAACAGCGTTCCGTGCGCCTTGGTGTTTAGTCATGCCGGCCACATGACCACGGAAACGTCTTCGGACAGTGCTGGCTCTTCGGCTTTGAAACGGAGATGAGTACCGCAACCCTAGAGTCGGACTCGACTGGCTTTCGAGCAAGGGAACCTTTACTTTTCTGGTCCCGACAGAAATTCCAGTGGATATGCAGCCCCCATGTGAAGATCCTCGCTCTAGCCCCCCCACCCCACCCAGCCAGTCCCAAACCAGTCCTTACCTTAGTGATGCTGAGGAAGCCACGGATCATCTTCACAGTGGCATTCACCTCCTGGGTGGTTGGCAGAGCCTGCATGGTACGGGCACCCAGAGAGAATCCGCCGTACCTTGTGGGAACAGAGGAAGGAATGGATTTGAGTCATTAGGAGGCTGGCCTGCTCCCTTCGCCTTCATACAAGTCCAGCCACCTCTGAGAAGGAGAAGCCACTCGGGCAGGGGCCCTAGCTCAGTGGTGGAGCATCTGCTCGGCATGCAGAAGGTCCTAGGTTCAGTCACCAGCATCTCCAGTTAAAAGTTTCAGGCAGTCATACCCTGACCTTGATCGCCCAAGGCAAGCCCAATCTGGTCAGATCTCGGAAGCTAAGCAGGGTCGACTCTGGCAAGTACTTGGAAGGGAGACCTCCTTGGAATACCAGCAGTCGGGAGGCAGGGGCAGGCTTTCTTCAGCCACCTCTCTGAATATCCCTCCAAGACCCCAGTTGAATATCCCTCCAAGACCCCAGTTGGGGTCAGTCACCAGAGGTCAACACGACTTCTAGGTGCACACAGTCAATCATGGGGGGGGGGATTGGAAAAAGAGGTGTTGGAGTTCTGAAGTTTTAAACATTTTAAAAAGAATTTTGTCGAAGAGGTTCCGGAACTCTGTTCCAGTGCGTTCCCCCAGGGAAAAAAAGCCCTGGTCGGTCACCAGAGCTCACCATAACTTCCAGGTGCATACACACTCACACGCGCACACGCACATATGAAAAATATAAATAATACACCAAAAAAAAGGTCCAAAAGATGATGGGAAAGATCTCTGCCTGAAACCCTGGAGAGCTGCTGCCAGTTTGAGTAGACAATACTGACCTCAATGGACCAAGGGTCTGATTCAGTAGAAGGCAGCTTTGTGAGCATTCACGTGTTTTCACTCAGGGTGGGGAAGTTGTCAGAACGGCAAGTCAAGGACTAGTTCAGAGGTAGCACTTTTCTCCATCGCATGGCTTTTACACAGTGTTCCCGCTAAGCTGTGGGCATGAGTGGCTGCTCATGAACAGAGGCAGCCCCGCTCAGCAGCCATATGAAGCCGTGCAAGATCTTACACTGCCCATTGGCCATTTTAAGCTTACAGCAGTTAACGTAAGAACATAAGAGAGGCCAATGTTGGATCAGGCCAGGGGCCCATCTAGTCCAACACTCTGTCACACAGTGGCCACAAAATACCAGGTGTGAACTGCCCCACGAACAGTGTGTGTGTGGGGAAATTAGAGGGAACTTTGAAAGGGATCCGTACACAGACAAATGCACTGATTCTGTTCTGTCATTTCTCTGATTCTCTACGCACAGGTATTCTATTTCTTCGGTCTTCCTCTCTTCAGATGTTATTTTTACATCTTTTTGAACCACCCCCCACCCCCCCCAAAAAACCCCACCAATATTTCAGCTCGTATTTTATTCGGATATTTGATCTGGCATTTCACGTGTGTTTGGCTCAGTGAACTGCAGAGTTCATTGGTCCACCAGAGGAGGAGGAGAGGAGGAGATTGGATTTATATTCTGCCCTTCACTACCTGAAGGAGTCTCAGAGCAGTTTACAATCTCCTTTCCCTTCCCCTCCCCACAACAGACACCCTGTGAGGCAGGTGGGGCTGAGAGAGCTCTCTCTCAAGAACCGCCCGTGAGAGAACCAGAGGAGGAGAGGAGGAGATTGGATTTATACTCTGCCCTTCACTACCCAAAGGAGTCTCAGAGCAGTTTACAATCTCCTTTCCCTTCCCCTCCCCAGAACAGACACCCTGTGAGGCAGGTGGGGCTGAGAGAGCTCTGACTGAGGGGCTGAGAGAGCTCTTGAAAGAACAGCTCTGAGAGAACTTGTGACTGACCCAAGGTCACACCGGCAGCTGCACGTGGAGGAGTGGGGAATCAAACCTGGTTCCCCCAGATTAGAGTCTGCGCTCCTAACCCCTACACCAAACTGGCACTTGAAGAGGCATTCAAATGAGCATTTGTGCCAGCAAAACATGAAATGGGGAGAGGGGGGAGCACAGTCCATCACATTTTAATCCCCGCTCCCTTTAAGGTGCTCAGGATAGCAGACACGTTTCTCTCCTCCTACGTTCTATTTATTTACATCATTTATACCCCGCCTTCCTCCTCAACAGGGACACAAGTGCCTTCCATGATTCCCCCCTTCTCCATTTTATCCTCACAACAACAACCCTGCGAGGTAGGGTGAGACTGAAGAGAGTGTGACTGGCCCAAGGCCACCCAGCAAGCTTCCACGGCAGAGTGGGGGATTCGAACCTGGCTCTCCTGGATCCCAGGCTGACATTCTTACCACCACCCCACAATGGCTCGCTTTTATCCTTACAACAGCCTTGTGAGGTGGTTTAGGCTGAAGACGGAGACGCCCAAGGTCACCCAGTGAGCAACACTGCAGAGGGAGTGGGATTTTAACTCTCACCACTACACAACCCTTCTGTTTTGATCCACCATGCCGATGAGCCGATGCAGCATATGAATGAAGTTAGGCGAAGAAATTTGGCAGTACAGACTTCTGTACTCTTTTCCGTACTTCTTTTCTCTAGTTTCAGGCTAATTCCCAGAGGGAGGGTATTACAAGGGATGCTGGGTCATAAGAACATAAGAGAAGCTCTGCTGGGTCGGACCAAGAGTCCCTCTAATCCAGCATTCTGACTCATACAGTGGCCAACCAGTTCCTCTGGACGGCCAAGAACAGGGCATAGAGGCTGAGGCTTCCCTTGATGTTGCCTCCTGGCTCTGGGATTCAGAGGATGAGTGCCTCTCAATCTGTCAGTTCCCCTCAGTCATCATGCCTAGTAGCCACTGATAGATGGATCCTCCATGAATCTATCTAATCCCCTTTTCAAGCTGGTTATTCCTGTGGCCGTCACGACATCCTCCGGCAGCGAATTCCACATTTTAATCACTCTCTGCTTAAAGTAGTCTTTCCTTTTGTTCGTCCTGAACCTACTGCCCATCAGCTTCAGTGGATGCCCTCAAGTTCTAGTGTTGGGAGAGAGGAAGAAAAATGTTCTGGGTCCCCCAGAAAAACAGACACACCTAGTCTGTTGTTTTCTCCACAGATGCCCCCCAAAACAAAGTCAAGAGACAGACCTCCTATGATCCTTGCACAAACCAAAAGCAGTTACCGATGAGAACCAGAACACAAACAGGCCAAACATCCCAGTTCACTCGTCTAGAAAAATATTCATTTTAGAAACGAACAAAAAGGTATCTTACCGCTGTTCGTTAACCCATTTCTTGGTTTTTAACCTAAAAGGTTTTAAAGAGACAGAAAGAAAGGCAAGAATTGTTACGGAGGGTGTCAAAATGCAGCATGCACAACGAGACAAGTGGTAGTGCATGAATCCGCGCAAGTTCATGGCACACCCACACAGAAGAATCATCTATCAACAATGTCATCATTCAGGCTGCTGTACAAACAGAGAGAGAGAATCACGTAACAAAAAAGATTAAACCGTGACAAACAAGAGACAGACCTCCTATGATCCTTGCACAAACCAAAAGCAGTTACCGATGAGAACCAGAACACAAACAGGCCAAACATCCCAGTTCACTCGTCTAGAAAAATATTCATTTTAGAAACGAACAAAAAAGTATCTTACCGCTGTTCATTAACCCATTTCTTGGTTTTTAACCTAAAAGGTTTTTAAGAGACAGAAAGAAAGGCAAGAATTGTTACGGAGGGTGTCAAAATGAAGCATGCACAACGAGACAAGTGGTATGTATGTATGTATGTAGGTATTTATTTATTTATTAGACTTTTACCCCGCCCACCCACCTAGGCGGCTCAGGGCGGTTTACAATAGTTTAAAAACAATTAATACGATATCAAGACAAAAACAATACAATCAATAAAGTATCCAAGTACAGCTTATTAAAAATTAAAATTAAGACGTGGCGGCCATCTGTTATAAAGTGCTAGAACAGTCAGTGTGGTCTGAGCTATTAGAACGCTTGCCGGAACAGCTCGGTCTTTACCGCTCTACGGAATTGTTGAAGATCCCGCAGAGCTCGAATTTCATATGGGAGCTGATTCCATAGTACTGGTGCAGCTAGGGAAAACGCCCTAGTTATTGTCGATGTTAACTTAGCGTCCCTAGGGCCAGGGGGACCCAAGCGATTTTGCGACTCGGATCTCAGTGCCCTTGGGGGAACGTACGGGGAAAGGCGGTCCCTCAGGTAGACAGGCCCCAGACCATTTAGGGCTTTAAAGGTCATAACCAGCACCTTGAAGCGTATCCAGAACAGCAGTGCATGAATCCGTGCAAGTTCATGGCACACCCATACAGAAGAATCATCTATCAACAATGTCATCATTCAGGCTGCTGTACAAACAGAGAGAGAGAATCACGTAACAAAAAAGATTAAACCGTGACAAACTTACTAATCATCCAGTCTCATAAATTCATTCTGTATTATTTATAAATTTTGGGATGTAAAGTGAACAGTGCAAGGTATACCGCACATATTGACTACAGCAATTTCCACGAATCAAGTTGACTTACCATCTTAGTACAATTTTTATTTCATCCTTTATAAAAGTCCACAAACTTTATCAAAGTCTTCCAGGAAAATGATCCTTCAAATGGGAAGAATACAATGAACTGACCGCTAAGTTTCTCCATTGTTTTATAAAACGGAAGAGTAACCCTGATCATATTAATGATTCTTAATTTATAAGTTTAAAAACTTAAGTTTAAAAGTTTGGAATGCCAGTTTATTTTATGATTCAGGCATCTTTTGTATGGTCAAATCTAACTTGTGACAACTTGAGTTAGGCCTGACATAGCCACGACTATCTATTTTATAATTTCTCTTGGATTGTATTATTGGGAAATGTTTTAATATTCTATGCCAATAAAAGGTATTTGAATTTGAATTTGATACTCCCGGGTCATAAGATGCCCAAAGGGAAACTGTAAGTCTGTCATGGTTTAATCGTTTTTGTTACGTAGCATTCAGGTCACCAGCTGTTTGTGAAACCCTAGCCATTAACCATAGAAGTTTTAATCGTTTAATTAAGTTGCCAAAATGTTGTAAAATTTATTTTGTTCCTTGTTTTTTGCTTCTACAGGATGCCCAAGAGAGGTCTCCCCTCTTCTGCAAGAGAAGGAGAAATGCCTTTTCTAAAGCCCCATAAAATGGTACGGAGGTGGCGACCCAGTTTCTGGACTGTACCAGTAACAGGTAAAGCACAAACATGGGGGGGAGGGGCTCTCAAAATGTACTGCTCTTCCATCCCCCTAGATATGCTGATGAGAACATCAGTCTAGAACTCCTTTTCCCTGGCCAGGGCATTTTGTTTGGCTGTTTAGAACGAATTATGGCAAGTCCTGCATGCAGACTGAGGGGGTACAGTCCCAAAGCAGGATTACCGCCTGGTCTGCAAGAGGCACTGCTTCTATGTTTCTCACACAGGACAGAATGTCTCTCCTCAGATAGTATCTACAACCAGGGGGTGTTTTGTTTTTAAATACTCAACTTTAGGAGGAGGAGGAGATTGGATTTATACCCCGCGCCCTTCACTACCCAAAGGTGTCTCAGAGCAGCTTACAAACTCCTTTCCCTTCCCCTCCCCACAACAGACACCCTATGAGGTAGGTGGGGCTGAGAGAGCTCTGACAGAAACTGCTCCTGAGAGAACAGCTCTGAGAGAACTTGTGACTGACACAAGGTCACACCAGCAGCTCTATGTGGAGGAGTGGGGAATCAAATCCGGTTCCCTCCAGATTAGAGTCTGCGCTCCTAACCCCTACACCAAACTGGCACTTGAAGAGGCATACAAATGAGCATTTGTGCCAGCAAAACATGAAATGGGGAGGGGGGGAGCACAGTCCATCACATTTTAATCCCCACTCCGGTTCTTCCAGATTAGAGTCCACGCACTTAACCACTACACCAAACTGGCTCTTTAAAACAGAAATATGTTAAAACTCCACTTCCCTATGACTGGGGTGGAAGGGGGCAATTTTTAAACAGATTGATGTGCGCTTTAAATCGATTTGTTTGCAAAACTCCGCAATCCTGATGGCGGCCGACCTGCCTCGAACGACCAGGGGACATGGCTCACCCTTTGCGAATAACTCTGCTGTATGTTTTCACCAGGTAATCCGAAATGTTCCTCCCAGTGAGGTTCTGCAGAATGTCACCAGTGTCCGTCTGCATCTGGAACAAAGCAGCACAACGGTCAGCAAGGGCAGACTAGACAACCCCCGCAATGGACCTACATGCCTTGGGACCCGGGTATCTAAAGGACCGTTTTCTCTCAGACGTTTCTGCCCAGGAACTAAGATTGCAGGGAGAGGCCCTCCTGACTGTCCCATCAACCAGAGAAGCTCATCTGGTGAGTACACAAGAGATGGTCGTGGCAGCCCCACAGTTATGGAACAACCTCCCCAGGGAGGTGCGCCTGCCCCCCCTCACTTTTGAAGAAGAAGAAGAGAGAGAGAGGAAGAGATGGGATTTCTACCCCACGCCCTTCACCACCCAAAGGTGTCTCAGAGCGGCTTACAAACTCCTCTCCCTCCCCCTCCCCACAACAGACACCCTGTGAGGGAGGTGGGGCTGAGAGAGCTCTGACAGAAACTGCTTTTTTCAAGAACAGCTCTTATCAGAACTATGGCTTGCCCAAGGTCTTCCAGCCAGGTGCAAGTGGAGGAGTAGGGAATCAAACCCGGTTCTCCCAGACTAGAGTCCATGCACTTAACCACTACACCAAACTGGCTCTCAGGAGGCAGCTGAAGGCAGCTTTAATTACATCTGCATTATTATATTTTTATAATTGTTGTTTAATTATCACTGCTTTTACTGCCTATTTTATATTTACCATTTTCTTCTCACCTTTCTTCTCATTTACCATTTTCTTCTCACCTTGACACCGAGACCAATTTCACACAAGAGCTGGGCCGCGGTCGCGCCTCCCTTTGCCCCACTTCTGTTGGTCAATTTCCCCCTCAAAGCCGCGCGGCCGCATTTTGAAGAAGAAGAAGAGAAGAGATTGGATTTGGTGGGTGTGGTTCTGCCTTTTCTCTTTTATTCTCACAACACACCTGGGAGGGAGATGAGGCTGAGACCGATTTCACACAAGAGCTGTGCTGCGGTCGGTCGTGCCTCCCTTTGCCCCGCTTCTATCGGTCAGTTTCCCACTCGAAGCCGCACGGCCGCATTTTGACCCACGGCTTCACCGTATTTTCCCCGCGGTTTCGTGATCCTCAAAAAACAGGATCACGAAACCGCGGGGAAAATCGGGCGAAGATGCGGGCCAAAATGTGGCCGCGCGGCTTCGAGTGGGAAACTGACAGAAGCGGGGCAAAGGGAGGCGCCACCGCGGCGCAACTCTTGTGTGAAATCAGTCAGAGAGTACTCCATCTTTCTGTGTTATACCTCTGAGGATGCCGGTCACAGCTGCTGGCGAAACGTCAGGTCCTACAATGCCAAGACCACGGCCGCACAACCCGGATAATCTACCACAGCTAATGAACTCCGGCCATGAAAGCCTTCGACAACATATATTTGCTTTTATACTGTAAGCAGCCTTGAGTTCCACAAGGGAGAAAGGCTACTAATAAACATTTTAAATAAATAAATGGCGAACAAGTTTTGAATATAAATGTAAGAAGAAGTGGATTTTGAACAAAAATGTCTGTTATTTTCTATCTTTTATGTGAGATATATAATAGATGCTCCTTTAAGCTTTGGAATATTAAATGTTATAGCCAGTATGCAGAAATGATGAAACATATAACATAGAATACACAATAACAATGAAATTAATCATATAGTTGCAAAATGGAAGGTGTCTGTTGTGGGGAGGGGAAGGGAAAGGAGTTTGTAAGCCGCTCTCAGACTCCTCTGGGTAGTGAAGGGCAGGGTATAAATCCAATCTCTTCCTCTTCTCTTCTTCTGTATCCTACCGAAAATGTCTTTAAAACTACAATGGAGGGGATGTTGGGGGAGAAAAATGTACTTTTTTTTTGTTTTATATACCCTGCAATGTATAATAATCTCGATATATATAATTTGTAATACAATCCCTCTTTTCCTTTTGTATCCCCTCTATAGCATATTTTGCTTTCTAAAATAAAAGAATATATTAAAATAATACATAAATAAATGGCCAAGGCAGGCAGGTCTGGACAGCACAGGTTCAGAACACCTTGGCTGGAGCCGTCCTGCCCTCCTCTCCCCCACCAGTGAAGATTTATAAAACACAGGGAAAATTCAAGAACAGGTGGCCGCGTTAGTCTGTCTGCAGCAGCAGAAAAGATCAAGAGTCCAGCAGCACCTTGAAGACCAAAAAGAAATAGTTTGTAGGGGATGAACGTTCGTGAGTCACTGCTCATATATCTGAAGAAATAAGCAGTGACTCAACAAAAGTTCATCCCCTGCTACAAATTTTGTGAGTCTTTAAGGTGCTACTGGACCCTTACCAGGCCCGTAGTGACGGTAGGGCATCTTGGGGCCTTGCCCCCTTAATTAAAACCCCTGCCCCACAAATAGCCATGCCAGAAACCTTATTTTTGACCATGACCTAGATGGTACTGGGCTTGCAAAAAGGGGGATTTGCTGGAGATGTACTGAAGGTGCCCTTCTAAGCCTTCCTGCCCTGGGGAAGGGAACTCAAAAGGCATTTAAATACCTCCTGAAGGCAATTAAATGCCCTCTGAGCTGGGTGGCCAACTGCCTGGTGGGGGAAAAATGTCCTGTCCTTTGAACAGAGATTTAGCAGGTTGTTATTTATCAGGGGTGTGTGATTTACCTCCAGGCTGTCAAAAGCTTTCCCTGCCCATTTCCAGGCACGAAGCCTCTATTAAAGGGCCAGGGCATTTTTCTCCAGGCCTGTTGGCAACCACCGAACCGTCCCCCTGCGGTGCGTCAGGATCCAGGTCCCTCCTCGACTGTGCTACCCCAAGCAGTCACTAAGGGGAGCCCTGATCGGAAAAGTTCAGGTCCATTATTAGGACCCACGTCGAAAGACCCAACTTGGTTAATACACGTTCGTATTCTTTGGTTCGTCCTAATCCGAGGCGAACGCCTTTTTTGGGTTTTTGTTTGGGGTTGGGTCTGCAACCGAAACTAGCGGCCCTTTAAGGCTATCCAGCATTGAATCCCGCGGAGCTTTCCCGAGTTAGAGCCCACTCCCCGCCCCCACGGCCCGGCAAGAAAGCCCCCCCACACACACACACACCGATTCTCCATGTCTGCAGCTTTGCCAAAAGGAGAGATGCAAAAGGGTGGGGGGGCTCGGGCATTTTTTTTAAATTTAGGGGAGTTTTGAGCTGGGCGGGGGGCGTGGCACGCCGACCCGCGACCCCCTCCCCTTCCAGTTCAGCGAGAACAGATCACCCAGAAGGATCCGGCCTCCAGCCAATCAGGCCTCCGCTCTCCCTCCTGGCCGTCCAATCGGCCACTGCTGGACTCCCCCTACCCCATACGCGGCGCCCAACCCCCCCCAACTCCAAACGGCTCCAGCTCCTGTTGCTTTGCAGGGGCGCGTTGGCAGGGCTAAGCCTGCGGGGCTGCAAAGGGGCTCTCCTATCTGGACCCTCCCGGACCGGTCACCTCGGTGCAGAGCGGGCGCCCTTGGCGGAGGAGGCCCCGGCGGCTCCGTTCCTCCCTGGCTCCTGCCCGCTCGCCCGTCCTTCCTGGCTTTGGCGCACGGCGGGGCTGGAGCAGCTGCGCTCGGCTTGACGCACGGCCAGGAGCGCCTTGGCAACCCGGCGGCGCCACCGCTCCGCGCCTGGCCCCGGGGGACGCCCGAGCGAGCGGCGGCTCCAGCGGCGCGATCAGCCCTGCCCGGGGCCCGACAGCTGCCGCCGAGCGGGGAGGGAGGGAGGGGCCGAGGGATCTTTGGGGCCCCCGAACTGGGCGGGGCTCTCCGGGTGCCTGCAGGCCCGACCCGCACCGGGGCTGGTTGTGTTGGGGGCTGAGCTGGACCGGG